CTAATAGAAAACAGACATATATAGAACTATATGTAGACACACACATGCACACACACACACACATACACAGCCCTCCTAAAATATAGTTATCAAAGAGAGTATAATCTTTTAAAAAGTCAATAATGATGACAACTACAAGAATAATAATGGCTAACACTTAAACAATATTTACTGTGTGCTAAGAACTTTCTCACATATTTAACTTTTACTTATATTAGTCTATTTAATCCTGGAACAATTTTACTTAAATTTTTTAATTCAAATTTTAATTTTAATGTAAACATACAATGCAATATTGGTTTCTTTTTTATTTATTTATTTATTTTTTTTTTTGAGAGAGAGAGAGAGAGAGAGAGAGCAGGAGCAGGGGGGAAGGGGCAGAGGGAGAAGCAGACTCCCTGCTGAGCAAGGAGCCCAATGCGGGGCTGGATCATAGGACCTGGAGATCATGATCTGAGCCGAAGGCAGACAACCATCTGAGCCACCCAGGTGCCCCTGCAATATTGGTTTCTGGAGTAGAATTCAGTGATTCATCACTTACATACAACACCCAGTGCTCATCACAAGTGCCCTCTTTATTTTTTTTTCTTTAATGATTTAATTAATTTATTTATTTGAGAGACAGCAAGCAGGGAGAGGAACAGAGGGAGAGGGACAAGCAGACTCTGCAGAGAATGGAGCCTGATGTGTGGCTCGATTCCATGATGGGAGATCATGATCTGAGCTGAAATCAAGAGTCAGATGCTTAATCAACCAAGCCACCCAGGGGCCCTGACAAGTGCCTTCTTTAATACCCAGTACCTATCTAGCCCATCCTGCACCCACCTCCCTCTATCAGCCCTCAGTTTGTTCTCTATTGTTAAAAGTCTCTTATGGTTTGTTTCCCTCTCTCCTTTTTTCCCCCTTTCCCATATATATGTTCATCTGTTTTCTTTCTTAAATTCCACATATGAGTGATTCATATGGTATGTTCGACTTATTTCATTTAGCATAATACACTCTAGCTCTATTCACATCATTGTGAATGACAAGATTTCATTTTTATGATGGCTGAGTAATATTCCATCGTATACATATATACCACTTCCTCTTTATCCACTCATTAGTCGATGGACATTAGGGCTCACTGCATAGTTTGGCTATTGTTGATAATGCTGCTCTAAATATCGGGGTGCATGTACCCCTTCAATCTGTATTTGTGTATCCTTTGGGTAAATACCGAGTAGTGCAATTGCTG